GGGATCTTGGGAGGTCTGTTCTTTCCTTGCGAAGAAAAATTCGATTAAGGTCCACTAATTTTACGATTCCACCCATTTGTAATTGTAATTTGAAAACGTTTACTGTATTCTCCAGACGATGGCACCGGTTGCAGGTTAAAGTGGAAAACTTATGAATCCAGATACTTTTATTTAAGAAGTTTTTTTTTTACCAAATAGTGGAGGGCATTCAAAGTTCGGAAGTTCATAATTTTGCCTATAATTATTCTTGGTGTTGCATCGATCTTTTCAATGGCTTTTGATTTCGGTAAAAAGCTTAATTTTCTTAAACTTCTCCTCCTCCTCCCATCTTTCATTTGAAAATTTTGCGTTTAAAGGTTAACGATTTTGTGCTACATTTCAACGCATTTCCTCAGGAAGAGTAATGTACACAATTTCCAAAGGGACTCCTATCAAGTGCAGTTTTCATTATTAATATCAGACAAGTCTCTGTCACACAGAATAAAATATTTTTTTTATACCCTCCACCATAGTATGGAGGGTATATTAAGTTTGTCATTCCGTTTGTAACACCTTGAGACCACACAAAGTATATATATTCTTGATGAGCATAAAATTCTTTGTCGTTTGTTAGCGATGTCCGTCCGTCTGTCCGTCAATGGAAATCCCTCTAGCTTCCGAACAAAATGAAGTAGGTTGATAAAATTTTATTCAAATGTATATTATGTCTGCAGGACTTTTGGTACTGAAAATAGGAAAAATGGTACCTCCCTTTTTTCGGTATTTTGATGATTTTAGCGACAATATTCACCGGAAATGTTTCAAATTTGGTATTTGAAGTTCGTAATGGATACTACAGCCTAAGACAGAAAATTGTCTGTACAAGACCACATCTTCGTATAGCCCCATGTAATGGTACCTCCCCCCTTTTTTCGGTATTTTGGTGATTTAAGCGACATTATTCACCGGAAAACTTTCAAATTTGATATTTGAAGTTCGTAATGGATACCGCAGCCTGAGACAGAAAATTGTCTGTACAAGTCCACGTCTTCGTATAGCCCCATGTAATGGTACCTCCCCCCTTTTTTCGGTATTTTGGTGATTTAAGCGACATTATTCACCGGAAATGTTTCAAATTTGGTATTTGAAGTTCGTAATGGATACCACAGCCTGAGACAGAAAATTGTCTGTGCAGGTCCACGTCTTTGTATAGCTCCAATATAACGGTACCTCCCCATTTTTTTGATGATTTTTGCTACATTATTCACCGATTCTTTTTCAAGTTACGCATTTGAGTTTTAGAATGGCTTATGACAAAAGTAACCTATGCAGGTCCACGTCGTCGTATAGACCCTAATATAAGAGCTACATTCGGTATTTTTAAGATTTTAACAGAATTTTAAACGGATTTTATTTTTTTTTTTTTTTGAAAATTGCCAAATTCGTTCCAAATGGTGTAGGGTATTCAAAAATCGACCCGGCCGAACTTTACTTGTCATTATTAGTATCAGACAAGTCTCTGTCACACAGGATAAAATCCTTTTTATTTTATGGATGTGGTTGTGAGTTGAATGTGTGTGTGTGCGTTTTTTTTTCTTGGGCAGAACATTACAATGATCAATATATAATAGGTTCCACATTTCATATTAACGCAATTGTGCCTTGTCACAGTGCTGGAGGTCAGCAGCTGAACGACAAATGAACTATTACATCTATTTCCAATTGTAAAGGAAGGCAAAAAAAGAAATGGAATAGTTTAACGTCTGTCTGCCACTTTCTAATTAGATTTAGAGTGCCATTGAACAAGTGTCGCACAAAACAACCACCATGCCATCAACATCACCTTAGCTTCGAGAAGGTCACACACAAACCGCACACACACTGCAAGAGTATGTCACCACATATGAAAATTATTACCTATCCGGGACCCAGGTGGTAATGTAACTCGGTGGGTTCGGTGGTTCGGTCGATTTTTTGTTAAATGTCTCAAAAACATGGAATTAAGGGAAAAATTTATAAAATGGAATTACATTCACCCTCTTGCTGTTGAAACTAGTTTCGAAATTTTATGGAATCAAAAGTATGATATTTGAAACCATGAAAATAACCTAGGGTCAGAAAGAGGGAGAGAGAAAGGATGCAGGAATGTATTATACCATTTTTTAAAGGAAATCAAATCATAGTAGTTGTTGTTGTTGTTTTAGCAGCAACATATGTAAGGACAATTATTTTTACTAGTCAGGTCCAGTCAGGTCCTTGTTTCGCAAGTTACAACAGATAAAATGATTAAAAATTGTGACCCTTTGTGGTGAGGTACCAGAATATATATGTATCATCTTCACAACAGATATTGCGTTAGCAAAAATATTTGGATGTGTGAAATTTGAAGAGAGTTGAATGCTTATTTCGCTTTCTTTGAGCGTTTTCTTTTTCAAAAACTTGAACCCTATGTGGGGAGGTACCAGAAGAAAAGGTCCGACCTCTACCATATTTATAACAGATCTTGAGTTGGTGAAAATATTGAAATGTGCTATGTCTGAATGGAATCGGATGTTAATTCCACGTTTTATTAGCTTCATGAATATTCAAAATTTTAACCCTTTGTGGAGGAGGTACCAGAAGGAGTAGCCCGATATATCCCATCGTCACACCAGACCTTAAGTTAATAAAAATATTGTGATGTGTGTAATTTGAAGAGAACCAGATGTTCGTTTCGGATTTTATGATTGTTTTTCTTATTCAAAACTTTGACCCTTTGTGGGGGAAGTACCTGGAGGAGTGGTCCGATCTTTACCATTCTAATAACAGATCTTGTATTGACGTAAATATTGATCATCAGTGCCAAGTCTGAATGGAATCGGATATTAATTTCGTGTTTTATGAGCTTCATTAGAATTCAAAATTTCGACCCTTTGTGGAGAAGGTGCCAGAAGGAGTAGCCCGATATATTCCATCTTCACACCAGACCTTAAGTTAATAAAAATATTGTGATGTGTGTAATTTGAAGAGAACCAGATGTTTGTTTCGGATTTTATGATTGTTTTTCTTATTCAAAACTTTGACCCTTTGTGGGGGAAGTACCTGGAGGAGTGTTCCGATCTTTACCATTTTAATAACAGATTTTGTATTGACGTAAATATTGATCATCAGTGCCAAGTCTGAATGGAATCGGATATTAATTTCGTGTTTTATGAGCTTCATTAGAATTCAAAATTTTGATCCTTTGCGGAGGAGGTACCAGAAGAAGTGGACCGATATATGCCATCAACACACCAGAACTTGGGTTAATAAAAATATTGTGATGTCTGTAATTTGAAGAGAACAGAATGCATATTTCGGATAATAATAATAGTTTTAGTCATTCAAAATGTTGACCATTGGTGGGGGAAGTACCTGGAGGAATGGTCCGATCTTTACCATCTTAATAACAGATATTGTGTTGACGGAAATATTGAGATGTGCCAAGTCTGAATGGTCGGATGTTAATTCCAGGTTTTATTAGCTTCATGAATATTCAAAATTTTGACCCTTTGTGGGGGAGGGACCAGAAGGAAAGGGCCGATATATTCCATATTAACACCAGACCTTGGGTTGACAAATATATTGGGATGGGTGAAATTTGAAGACAATCGAACTCTTGCATCACATTTTATAAGAGTTGTAATTATTCTAAATTTTGCCCCTTTGTGGGGGAGGTACTTGATGGAGTGGAACAATATTGTCCATTTTTGCAAATGACATAGTACTGATGCAAATATTAGGATTTGCAAAGTTGGAGCAAAATCGGATTATCGTTTGTCTTTCAGTGCAAAAAATATTTTTTGAAAAATTTGACCTTTTGTGTGGGGGAGGTACTTAATGGAGTGGACCGATATTGCCTATTTTCACAACTGACCTAGAACAGACGCAAATATTAGGATTTGCAAAGATGGAGAAAAATCGGATTATCGTTTCTCTTTCTGTTTAGAAAATAAATTTTTTGAAAATTTCGAAAAGTGGACTGATATTGCTTATCTCCGAATTCGATCTAAGTTTGACAAAAATATTACGATGTACCAAGTTTGGACCAAATCGGTTACTCCCTTCGAAAGTTATCGTGTGCACCAACCAGACAAATAGACAGACAGACGGACATCGCTAGATCGACTCCAAATGTCCAGAAACGGATTTAGTCCAAAGATAACTAGGGTCTAAAACAGTTATTTCGATAAGGCACGTTTTGGCCGTATCAAATAATACATACCCTCTATAGCCATATGGCTGAGGGTATAAAAAGGTGATACAATATGTCTATTTTTCGTGTGGGAGCTACCTAAAGAAAAGTTACCCATCAATGTCTGGCTATTGGCGAAATAGGCATTTGAATTTGGCAATTTTGAAATATTTTATACCCCACCATCCTGATCTTTGTAACAGAAATGTTAATTTTCTCAACTGTGGTTTAGTTTGCCAAAACAAAAATCAATTTAAAAACAGCGAAGCAAAGATGAAAACACAAGTATGTTTTGTTTTTCGTATTAGCTTTTTTTTTTGTTTATATGAGCCACCGACCACCGTCTTCTGTCTATTTTGTACGAGTGACGTATTGCTTCACAATTGGATTTAAATAATTTCGATTTGGGTATATACAGACGTGTGCATGTCGGTATGGGGGTATGCATGGGCTATTTGGATATTTTTCTGTGTATCTGCTGTGTGAAGTCAACACAAATGCTATCTTTATATATGCACATTATCTATCCATATATATATAGTGATTGACCACCACCATCACCTGCCCAAACTGGAGGAACTCATATGGAAATTTTCTTTGAAAAGTTCAAACAACAATTATTGCCAAGGGTCGGTAGTCATTTGCAATGGACTGACTGTTATGCAAAATGGATGCATGGATGGAGATGGAGTATGCACATTTGTGTGAATGTTGGTAGGTAGGTACATATGCAAAATCCAAATGAAATTTGTTTGAATTTGCACAGCTATGCGATTTGCTGCTGGACATGGACATTTAAGAAACTTACATGATCCGAAGATTCGGCTGCAGATGAATTACGCTTATCGGCCTCAGATGTTCCAGCACTGGCTCCCAGCGAACTATTTGCTGCATCATCTTCTCCAGCACCACCAGCAGCAGTGGTGTCATCAACTTTTCGGCGTCGAACTTCAGCCATTGCTTTTAGTTTATTTTTGTTACTTTTTTAATTAACAATTTAATATCTTTTATATCCACAATCTGTTATCTTATTTCTTTCGGTTTTATATTCGCACTTTTTTATCTCGTTTATTGCATACAAATTTCCAAAATCCTGATATTCTTGGTCTCAATTAATTTCGTTCCACAAAAATATATGTACGCATGTATGTATGTATGTCAATTAAGTTTGTATACAATTAATTTTGTGTATTTTTTTTCTTCTTTTCTGCTTCTCATGGAGTTGGCATTTCTTGCCCGTCTGCGCCGCCTCCGATTTTCACATATGTTGATAATGTTCGGTCGGTGGTTGTAAACTCAAAACAATAACAACATTACAGGTAGTTTTTTTTCTCGTTTATTTTCCTCCAAACTTGTACTTTGTGTCTTTGGCAATAAAATAAAATCACTACTGTTTTTTTATTCACCAACAACCAATCGTAGCAGTCTGCACAGTCCACCGTTGATACATGTATCGCGACTCTGGACTTATCGACTGCTCGATTATTTGCAACAGAGAAATATCGCTTTGGCAGCCAGCTAATACCATGTTCTCATAGGCATTTGAACTCCAGGTTCAAAATAACGTTTATGATTTTATGCGACACACACGATCCGTAGCTCATAGTAAGGATGTAAGCATGGTACAACAAAAAGGTAAGGTAGAGCTCCCAGCTGATTACAACTATTTTCTAAGTGTTCCCGACTTCTGCCAATGATGTGTATGTATTTGTTTTTTGAAAAATGAAAAGAAAATATTTTCAAAATCAATGATTGGAAGAAACTTAAATTGCGGGGCACGCATTAATAATATTAACCAGATTTGCCATGGAATTGAAAGATTAAAAACCTAGGATCATATTTTTGAGAGAACATCCAAGCACTTCATTCATCTTTCGTGCTATTTGATTCATTTTAAAAAGGAACAAAAAATATCAAATAAATGAAAACAACTTGTTGCCTATAATTTTGAATAATTCTGACAGGAAGCGGGCATAGCCTCAAGGCTGTATTTTTGTAGTTTTACGAAGCTGTTCTACCTCCTTATTGTACCATGGATGTAAGTACATAAGAAGCTTTGAATCATGGCTAGGCATATTTTGTGACATTTTATAAAGGGATTAAAGAGCCACACTAAAAACCTGCCGTCGTTTTCCATTACAATATGACATTAATATGCCTAGCCATGACTTCAAGCTTTTTATGTACTTGCCCCCATGGTACAATAAAAAGGTAAAATAGAACTCCCAGCTGATTACAATTATTTTTTCTAAGTGTGCCCGATTTCTGCCAATTTTCTGTGTGTATTTATTGTTTTGAAAAATAGAAACAAAATATTTTCGAAATCAATGATTGCAAGAAACTTAAATTGCGGGGCGCGCATTAATAATATTAACCATATTTGCCATGGAATTGAAAGATTGAACACTTAGGAACATATTCTTGAGAGAACATCCAGGCATTTCATTTCATTTGACTCATTTTAAAAAGGAACAAAAAATATCAAATAAATGAAAACAACTTGTTGCCTATAATTTTGAATAATTCTGACAGGAAGCGGGAATAGCCTCAGGGCTGTATTTCTGTACTTTTACAAAGCTGTTCTACCTCCTTATTGTACCATACTTGCGCCTTAACATATGGGGTGATTTTTTAGGAAATATTTTCTAGATTGGAAATATTTTCAAAAAAACACATCAACATACAGAAAAATGGATTAAATCTATTTTGAAAATAAATCTTGAACTTTCATTTAGTTTTCATATTTTTCGCTTATTTATTCAAAATTAATGCAACAAGTTATTTTGTTCATTTGATAACATGCTGAATTTGTTCGCAATCAATGCAGGTAGTCCTCTTTACTTGTGCCTTTGTCCACCTAAGCCTACCTTGTCTTCATTGTACCAAGCATGGTACAATGGCTCAACCAGAAAGGTTTCTCAACTTCAAGAAGCTAGGAAAAATGCAACTCTGTACCAGAGTGTCAAAATGACTTTTAAATAGGCAACAGTTGGCTATGTTTATTTTATTTTTTTAATTCTTATATTGGGAAAAAGCCGGCGAAACAGGAATGGAAGTTCGGGATTATTCCACGAGATATAAAGAGAATCTAAAATAGTAGGTTTATCACAAAACAGTACAACTTGTTTCCCATTTACGTCAAAAATTTAGTATTTCAAGTTATGTTAATATGTTGTGCTGAGGTTAGGGTAAGTTATAAGAAAGTGTGTGTGTGTGGCTTTTTGGGGCCCTTAAAAGTGTTTAGTGTATTTGGACTAAAGGTTCAAGGATGGGTGGCCATAGTGGGGGAGTATTAAATATCAAGCTCCTGTGCCATAGCCGCATGTTGTGTAAGTTTGTTATCCGTTTTTTGTTTGTGTTTATTTTATTTCAAATTCCTTAAGTGTTCATTGGCTACGGTTAATGGTGGCAGGGTAGAGAGCCCCTCGGATATTCGCTCCCTCCTGAGCTAGTGTCGAACCCCATCATAACGACGCATGGGCCGAATATAACACCTTCTTGATAGATCACGCATTTTGACAATAAAATTCAATTATTTGTGAGCGTTGTTCGTTCGTAAAATTTATGCTTAAATTACAGGATGAGATTAAAAAACTGCAACCAACTTCAGACTGCTGTCATTTCTAAGCTCTCCCACTCGTCCGACCGATGTTAAAATCATTCCAGTGACAGCTCATTATATTGTTTACAAGCGTACAAAAGCATTTGGAGAGAGTTTTCCAGAAAAATAGTTATTCGTGATGGAATTCAAGCGTGATAGTGTGATTTCCTTATATTTGGCTGGAAAACCACAAATGGCTATCGTTAGAGCACTTCAGCATTTTAATGTAAATAAATCTTTTGTGTCTCGTACCAACGCTCGTTACCGTTACCGTGATACTCAAAAAAAAACTAAAGAGTTGCCTTGCTTGGCCGAAAGTGGTGAACTGCCGAATTTGGTTTTCTCCGTCTACGATGAGAAAAATTCGTTGTCCAGCAGTTTGTAAACAAACAAAATGATCGTGTTTACTTGGCAGAGAAGTCAGCTGAAAATGTACACGTTCGGTTGGCCAGTGGCCACCAGAACTCAAGCGGCGGCCATAGTGATTATGTGGGCCACCATAACAGCCGATGGTCGCTCTCCGCTCGTATTAATCGACCGTGGCATCATAATAAATGCCGAATATTATCGCGAAAATATTCTGGAGGGTGTATTAAAGCCTCGACACGCAAATATTTTGGTCGCAGAACTTGGACATTCCAACAGGTCCATTCCAACGCGCCACCCGAAAATGGTTACAAAATGAGTTTCCTCGCTTCATTTCCAGCGCACAATGACCACCAAAATCACCGGATATCAATCCGTTGGACTATTGTGTGTGGAGTATTTTGGAAAGCAAGGTTGGCACTAAAAAAATACCAAAGTGTTGATCACCTCAAGCAAGCACTTTGCCGGAAATGGCCTAAAATACCGCAGAGCAACATTCGGGCAGCGTGTGACGGTTTCATTGGCCGTTTGAAGGCTATAATTCGTGCCAAAGTTGACCAATTCGAACAAATCTAAACTTATTCCAAAATTTGATGCTATTTCCGACATTTTCTGCATTCATTCAATAAAATTGAAAAAATGTAACAATTATGGTGTTTGACTTTGTTGCAGTTTTTTATGTTACCCTGTATCATGGCAGAAGAATACAGGTAGATGCATCAACGCTTGGGAGCATTGATATGTCAAAAAACTTTAAATATTTTTTCAAATATTAGTAGATTTTTATATGTTTTCTTATACTTCGTCATTCGGAGGCTATAATAATTCGCGTTTTCCAACAATTTTTACAAATTTTAATAAATTTTCATTCAACATTTTCAATTCCAAAATTGGTTTGACAGTTCATTGTCCCAGCAGCTGTGTCGACGCGTCTACCTATATTCTTCTACCATGCCCTGTACATAGTTTTGAAAAAATGTATAAACATGATTGCACCAGGTTATCTTCTTAATTTCACATTACGTCAAAATTTCACAACGACGTCAAAATTCCTTAACTGCTTTGAGATACCCTTACAATTTGAGATTTTTTTGCTGCACATACCAAAGACCTTTGATTCTTTTTCACACTTAAAAGACGCCGTCAGAAGAATTTTGTTCGGCCTGGTGTCCAAATGTCAACTCGAATATGACTTTTCTCGAATTGTGAAGGAGAAACATGATCCACAAAGCAGATCTACTAAGTAGTCGCATAAGCCCAGCAGAGGGCACCATTAAATGTCAAAACAATTTGTTGTAATGCTGAATTCGCCCCAGTGAATGAAATGCTAGATTAATAAAGGTAGATGCATCAGCTGTAACCAATATTAAAATATCAACAAGTAAAAAAGACATCAAGTTCGGCCGGGCCGAATTTTAAGTACCCTCCACCTTAGGGTAAAGGGAACATTAGAGCCCATTATGACCCACAAATACCAATTTTTACACATATTCTTGGGAAAATGTGCTAAAAATCATCAAAATACCGAATATCGAGAAATACAGCTATATGGGGCAATACAAAAACGTGGACCTATACATATAATGTTTCGCCAAAGGAGCTAGAACCCATTAGGGCCAACAAATACCAATTCTCAGACAAATCCGTGAAAAAATGTGGCAAAAATCATTAAAATACCGAATATCGAGAGGTCCCGTTATATTAAAATTGTCATATCCATTACTTTTACTTCAAATAAATCCTCTCGAAGTAGGTTAACCCTACAAAAAGTTCTAACGTAAACATGGCATAAGGGTCTAAATATATAAGAAGCTTGAAGTCATGGCTAGGCATATTAATGTCAAATTATAATGGAAAACGACGGCTGGATTTTAGTGCGGCTCTGTAATCGCTTTGTGAAATGTCGCAAAATATGCCTAGCCATGACTTCAAGCTTCTTATATATTTAGACCCTTATGCCATGTTTACGTTAGAACTTTTTGTAGGGTTAACCTACTTCGAGAGGATTTATTTGAAGTAAAAGTAATGGATATGACAATTTAAATCCAAATCCAGTGGGTTAACCCTCATATATACAACATAAACAAATTTGTTGTTGCATTTATTTAGGGTGAATTCTTCATTACAACAATTTGTTTTGACATTTAATGGTGCCGCGTCAGCTGGGCTGATGCGATTTCTAGTACATCTACCTTGGGCAATGCATTGGTTCTTTTTTTTTGTTGGTATACAGTTGAGTTACGAATGTCGAATGTGCGTTACTCCGTCGCCGTCGTCCGTCGTAAAGAGAGATTACGTTAGTGAAATTAATTTTATACTCAATTGTTTTTGTTTTGTTTTTTCTTTCAAATAAAACTCAGAGAATAGTAGCAAAAAGAGGATAGTCGCAAATTTAAAAACAAACGAGTTGAAACAACAACAACGGTAGTGTGAAAAAGCAATCACCTTTTTTTAAGACAGTGCATCCCTCTCGCTCGCCTTGTGTGTTGGGCCGATTCTTTCGATTGCCCCCCAAAAAGAATTCCCTAAGAAAAATTAAAAATTTTTTGCCAAACGAAAGAAGAAAAAGCAGAACAAAGCAAATAATAATTGTGCATTTTTTTTTTGTTAAAATGTGTGTATGTATATCTGTTTTGTAGTAAAGGAAGAAGGTGTATGTGGTGATTAAAGAAATGAATAAGTGAAAAAAATACAAGAAGAAGAAAAATTAAAATTGCAAATAAAATGATAATGTAAAAGAGAATAGAGTAAAAGAAAAATGCCAATTGCCGTGTAAAGCAAGAAAAAATTGATTTAGCATAAATAAAACAACGTCCTCCAATTAGAGGTGGATGTTAATGTATTTGTGACCATCAATAGGATCGTCTTTTGTTTATGAGTCTGGAAATCTCATCGCATATGTAGAAATACAATACATGTTTCACAAATATATATACATATATAATATATATATATATAGCTATCCATATTAATTGGAAATAATTAAAAAAAATGATCAAGTAAATAAGATTTGTGCAAAAAGGAAAATAAAATGAATTAAATGTGGTTGTAAACGTCGCGTCACGTCATCATATTCTTTGTGCTACACCATACAACAGCAACAAAAAAAAAAACAAGTGTAACAAACCCAATTGGACAAAACAAGAGTGCGTGCGTTCGCGTGAGTCAGTGTGTGTGTGTGTGCATAGAAAATATGTATATTGGAATATATTAGTAGAAGGTAAGCTAATTATATTATGGTAAACAGAAAAAAACATCTCTAGATTTTATTGTTGCTTTACTTTTATTTATTTTTTGTGATTTTTTTAAACAAATCTAGTGAAACGATTATTGCAGAAAGTGTGTTTACATACTAAAGTGAAAATACAAACGAACGATTTGATTGTGGCCAACTGCCGGCGCGGCACGGTGCTGTGTGGCGTCGGCGTCAATGATTTTTTATGCTGGCTAATTTGTAATGTCACTGCTGGTTAATTTCCCCTATCTCTCTCTCTCTCTCTCTTTCTAACAGACTTTTATTCTTTTGCTTAAAACCTTTTTTTGTGCCTTAGTTTTTTAATAAATTATTATTGTATTTATATTCGTGTGCAAATTATCTCCACAAGTGGTTGGAGTTGTTTTATGCCGAATTTGATTATATTTACTTGCAGTAATAAATACTGCTCTCAAATTGTGGATTAATTAATTGAAAAAACAATGCCATTTTTTGAAGACAACCTGCTGGAGTACGGACTCCACGGATCAGTGTTGTCGATATTTTTCTGACTCTCTTCACCAAAATCAAAAAACGTTTTCCCCAAATCTCCTCAAATTTGATTCAATTTCCTCAAAAAAAAAAAAAAAAAAAACTAATTTTCATTTACACTTCTTTACCTTAGTTTTGGTCATGCAAAGCAGGAGTTAGCTAAATTAAATATTTTAAATTTAAAAATATGATATTTTCAATTCCAACTTCATCAGCTTCCTCGCATACTTGCAGTCGGTGTGTTTATTTTTTTTATTATTATCTCTCGTTTTTTGCTTATCGATGAGAACTCTATAATGCTTTTCTTCTTTTTACTCACATTCACAGTTCTCTCAATCAGTGTTGCCAGTATTTTTCTGTCTCTCGTCTCCAAAATCAAAAAACGTTTTCCCCAAATCTCCTCAAATTTGATTCAATTTCCTCAAAAAATCCCCAAGCATTTTACAAAAAAACGAACAGGGTAAATTTATTTGAAAATATATTTGTATAAGAATTCAATTCACAGATAGTTTATCTTGCATATTATACATGTAAAATAACATAAAAATAGAAAATAACAAATAAATATAACATTTTAATATCATAGACTAGACTTTTTAAATTTGCAAAAACTTCAAATTCCAAATCGTCAGCATTTTCAGTCTCATTTGGTTTATATAAATTCTCAAAATTTTTGCAGCAAATGGAATTACTTGAATATTTCTCAAAAGAGCTTCCAACAAATCATACTGCATTTTATTTCTAAGTTTGGTTTTCACTGAGTTCATAGTTCGCGTTCTACACATGCATTGCTGGTTGGCACCCTCTATGTAAAAAAATCATGCAACTTTTAGCACTCTGAATGCAAATATCAATGTAACTGTTCTACAAATATACCTTTTTTGACGTCACTGCAACCGATACTCTTATTCCACTGTAACAGCTTATAACAGCTTTGTCTGGTTAATGGGGAACGTATTTTATTGATGCGTTACGAATGTGTAACATAAATGTAAATATTAAAATAGGCAAGGTAGTTAGAATTTTTATTGCAAAAAAAAAAACTCACAAATTCCGCAATTTTTTAAAAAGATCCCCAATAAATCCTTAAGTCCCCAACTTGAATTTTTCCTCCCCAATTTAAAAAAACCATCCCCTTTTTGGGGAAAATTCCTCAATACTGGCAACACTGTCGAGTGTTCATAGCTGCTTTTGTAGTACTTGCCGTGATCGCTAATTCAGTTAGAGTTGGATCCTCTCCGTTGATGTGTGAAAACGTGTTGAAGCGAAATTTGTGAAATAAAGTTTGATTCGTTTCTTCTTCTTAGAAGAATCGTTGCTGGTAAGAGTGTGCCGATATCGTTTTTGTGTTAAAAAAAAACATAAACAATATAAGGAAAAAAGAAAAAAAATGTGAAATTTGAAAACAGAAATCAGAAATCCGGACGATAACTAAGAAAAATGTGTGATGTGCTAGAAAATACATGTAATATCTTTTGTTGTCGCAATAATTCACTTATCAAGATAGATCTACTAGGTAGCGGCTTCGCCCCAACTGACGGCACCTTTAAATGTCAAAACAAGTTGTTGTAATGCAAAAATTCGCCCTAAATGAATACAAAACAAAAACAAAGTTTGTTTATGTCTTGTTCACTAAAAGTGTTTTACGATAAGAACTTTTTAAAAATTAATAAATATTCGTTGTTGAGGTTCCTGGTACATAACACCGACAAGCCAACAATCGATACCTCAACAATAAATTATTGTCATCAGAGAAGAACGATCACTAAGAAAGAAGAAGCAAAAAGCTAAACTTTGCAACAACAAAAAGAATTGTTTTGGCGAATAAATTTGACGGGTTCAGGACCCCGACTAGACTGGTTAGAATTGGGTTATGCGGATGGAAAGACCCATATCTCTGGACCCGAAAAAGGTATTTGCATAAATTGTAGCATTTTGGAAAGGTGAGAGTATCAGCTATAAATTGCCTTTGACGACGCCCATAATGGGCCCTTTTTGGACTTTTTGGGGGTTTTATAAAAAATATGGGTCCAACAAATCGATAATTTGACTATAACCTCCGAACCTTAACACTTGTTGGATAGGTATTTTCATAAGCTTTCAACGATACCTATATTGTATATATTGGGTAATTGGGTCCGGGTCCAGGTCCAGGCCGGGTCTTAAACCCGGATTTTCGGGTAAAAAATCTGGGGTCCCGGGTCCGTCCCCCAAGAAAAAAGTAGTTTCCCGGAATCAGGATAAAAATACCTACCTCTGGAAAAAATCGAAGAGATTTTACTAAACTAGAGTTGTTCCAAAACAAGTGTTTTATTGAAGCCTTAACCACCAGTGCCTTATTAGCAACACGTTAGTATCGTCTGTATACTTGTTGTGTTGCTTAATATTCATAGCTTTGTTGTTCGTCTTTGTGCAACAAATACATACAAGTCCATACGCATGTATCGGAACTTACAACAACACTACTTATTTGTTGTACACTTCACTCCCCTGAACTGCTTAACTTTCGTCGTCTTCAATTTTAGGCGCCAAATAATAACGTATATGACCCAAATCTTGAGTCTACGAGACCCAACCACCAATGGTACATCGGCCGACATGGACAACTGTATTTGTCCACACAAAGGACTGGCCTTGGTGAAGGCATTTAGGCAACGGCAGGCGAATGTTAGGGGATAAGCTCTAGCATTTTAATAATGACTGTCTCATCATCTTTGTCCAAACTTGAACTTTGTGCCAATTTAACATTTACCGAATCAGCATCGCCAAGGACGGACATCGCTAGATCGACTCCAAATGTATTGAAACGGATTTGGTTCAAAGATACCTAAGGTTCAAAACCGTGATTTCAATGAGGTACGTTTTGGCCATATCAAATGATATACACTGGTGGCCAAAACTAAAGCAACTGAAATTACAAGGAGAATGAATGCCCTGTAACTTTTTCAAAAATAAAGAAAATGAGAAAGTTTTTCTTGTTTTAAATTAGGCACTTTATTCACTTTTTAAAAACCTAAAACATAAAACCAAAATTCATTTTTATATAAAAAATAATGTTTGGTAAAGTCAATTAACCCGATTTTGGCTTGGACAAAACAAAAGCAACTCTGTTGTACATTCATATAACCGCTGCAATTTCAGTTGTTTTTACTGTGATATTTATCGCTTTTTGCTTCCTTCGACAATTTCGCTTGTCATAAATCCTTTTTGAGAAGTTTTTTAAAACAGTATGTGTTTTTCTTTTCGTTTTTTAGGTACTGCCCAAAAAAATTTTAAAAATGGCTAAAAGCAAATACAGTACCTGAATAAAACAGCAAATTATCAGTGACTATCAAAACAACATATTACAGAAAATGATTTCCGAGAAATATTTCATAAATATTTATGTGATTTCATTATTATTTCTGTAAGTCGGTTTTTTGAAACTGGATCAGTAGTAACAGTCTATAACGGATGAAGGGCGTGAAAAACTTCAGCCCGCACTGATCCACAAATTGTGAGAGAAATAAAAAAAACAACTATTTAAGAGTTCAACTGGATTGGTGAGAGAGCAATCATTGGATATAAGCTCGAGATCAGTGCGTAGACAAGTAGTGGCAGCTGGTCTGCATGCCCGTAAGACATCAAAAAACCATTTATATCTGAAAAAATCAAAAAGGCTTTCGGAAACGATAATATTAAGTGGAATCAAGCTCAATGGAAAACACATTATTTCTGGAATGAGTCTACGTTTAATATTAAAGGCTCAAACGTGAAAAATTTTACGGTGAGAAGACCAAAAAATGAAGGACTCAAGCCGTAATGTTGCAAAGGTACAGTGAAGCATGAGGGAGGGTCAAAAATGGCGTGGCGCTGTTTTTCTTTCTATGGACTTGGGCCTATCCATAAAATAAAGGAAGTTGTGGATCGGTTTGTTTACAAAGATGTGTTGGACATCACGTTGTTCCCTTACGCTGAGTAAAATATTCGGCTGATTTGGGTTTTTCAGCATGACAATGATCCCAAACATGTATCAAAACTTGTCAAATATTGGTTGCGGGAGTCAAAAATTCATGTTTTGTTATGGCCGGCACAATCACCTGACCTAAACTCCTTAGAAAACCTTTGGAGTATCGTAGATAGGAAGATCAAGAGAGATTCGGAAATAAATAAGCACAACATTTTCTAAAGAATTCGGGGTGCCTTGGAAAGCACACCCAAGGATCAAATTGAGCGTGTTATAGATTCAATGCCTCGTAGGTGTGCAGCTGGTATCAAAAATAATGGTTATGCTATTGACTGTTAGCCAAAATTTAATTATTTTAAAATAAAAAATCAAAAGTTGCTTTAGTTTTGACCAAGCAAAAATTGGGTCATTTTAGTTTTCCACATATTATTTTTCGTTCAAAATTATTTTTGTATATTTATTTTAAGTTTCTTAAAAGTTAATTAAACCCCTCATTTAAAACTGGAAAAATAATTACGATTTGTTTATT